GGATATACAAAATACTAATGCCACACGACTAAAAAAAAAACATGAATAAACCACATCAAAAATCAATTATCAACCAAGGTAGCAGAGGAAAAATGAATAATGAGAACATGTACACAAGAGGCAGAGCATAACATAAGTATGCTCTACATCAGAGCCCCACAGAGTGCCCTCACGTGTAATATTATTCTGTGCTCTCAACCCTTGACAAGTCAGAGGAAATATCAGAACAGGAAAGTATACCTGGAGCGTTAAGTGTGGCACTTAGAGCCAGACAAGCATTAAAATAACCGAGACTGCTTCAAAGCTCTTCAAACTCATCTACGCACTCGGGAGAGTAGACGAGAGAGGTAGTTCATAATCTACTCCTGGAAAATACTGAAAGGCTTTAAGGCTAGATATGACTTACAAAATACACCAGTGAGAGATAGAACTATACAATACTGATTTTCTGAAATTGTATGGCCCCGTATCGTATACATATCGTTGGTTATCGTGTACAGCGATAGCCAACATATCGCTGGCTATCGATATGTTCCATCACTTTCTCCCAGAATTGTGATGGCCATTAGAGACTGCAGATGGCTAGCACAAACAGCCTCGTTGACCAAGGAAGAACCGATCCAGGCCCAACTGGGCAAAACTCTACAAACTGATCAGAGGTAAATAAGCCTTCCACTCAATAAGGCTTTCCCCGAAGGCTAATTTAAACATATTTAATCGAAAAATTAATTTGATTTCATTGAACGTTTTTCATGCTCAATTTAAGGGATTTTTTTTCAGACTTAATATACATATTAATTTGGGTTATGAGGTCAGACTTGGAGCTGGGATATGAGGTCAGACTTGGAGCTGAGATATGAGGTTAGACTTGGAGCTGAGATATGAGGTCAGACTTGGAGCTGGGATATGAGGTTAAGACTTGGAGCTGAGATATGAGGTCAGACTTGGAGCTGGGATATGAGGTCAGACTTGGAGCTGAGATATGAGGTCAGACTTGGAGCTGAGATATGAGGTCAGACTTGGAGCTGAGATATGAGGTCAGACTTGGAGCTGAGATATGAGGTCAGACTTGGAGCTGAGATATGAGGTTAAGACTTGGAGCTGAGATATGAGGTCAGACTTGGAGCTGGGATATGAGGTCAGACTTGGAGCTGGGATATGAGGGCAGACTTGGAGCTGAGATATGAGGTCAGACTTGGAGCTGAGATATGAGGTCAGACTTGGAGCTGAGATATGAGGTCAGACTTGGAGCTTGGATATGAGGTCAGACTTGGAGCTGAGATATGAGGTCAGACTTGGAGCTGGGATATGAGGTCAGACTTGGAGCTGGGATATGAGGTCAGACTTGGAGCTGATATATGAGGTCAGACTTGGAGCTGGGATATGAGGTCAGACTTGGAGGTGACCATGGGAGGGGACCATGGGAGATGACCATGGGAGATGACCATGGGAGGGGACCATGGGAGGGGACCATGGGAGGTGACCATGGGAGATGACCATTGGAGGGGACCATGGGAGATGACCATGGGAGGGGACCATGGGAGGGGGACCATGGGAGATGACCATGGGAGGGGACCATGGGAGATGACCATGGGAGGGGACCATGGGAGATGACCATGGGAGATGACCATGGGAGGGGACCATGGGAGGGGACCATGGGAGGTGACCATGGGAGATGACCATTGGAGGGGACCATGGGAGATGACCATGGGAGGGGACCATGGGAGGGGGACCATGGGAGATGACCATGGGAGATGACCATGGGAGGGGACCATGGGGGATGACCATGGGAGGGGACCATGGGAGATGACCATGGGAGGGGACCATTGGAGATGACCATGGGAGATGACCATGGGAGGGGACCATGGGAGATGACCATGGGAGGGGACCATGGGAGATGACCATGGGAGATGACCATGGGAGGGGACCATGGGAGATGACCATGGGAGGGGACCATGGGAAAGGACCATGGGTGATGACCATGGGAGATGACCATGGGAGATGACCATGGGAGGGGACCATGGGAGATGACCATGGGAGGGGACCATGGGAGATGACCATGGGAGGGGACCATGGGAGATGACCATGGGAGGGGACCATGGGAGATGACCATGGGAGGGGACCATGGGAGATGACCATGGGAGATGACCATGGGAGGGGACCATGGGAGATGACCATGGGAGGGGACCATGGGAGATGACCATAGGAGGGGACCATGGGAGATGACCATGGGAGGGGACCATGGGAGGGGACCATGGGAGATGACAATGGGAGGGGACCATGGGAGATGACCATGGGAGGGGACCATGGGAGATGACCATGGGAGGGACCATGGGAGATGACCATGGGAGGGGACCATGGGAGGGGACCATGGGAGATGACCATGGGAGGGGACCATGGGAGATGACCATGGGAGGGGACCATGGGAGGGGACCATGGGAGATGACCATGGGAGATGACCATGGGAGGGAACCATGGGAGATGACCATGGGAGATGTCCATGGGAGGGGACCATGGGAGATGACCATGGGAAGGGACCATGGGAGGGGACCATGGGAGATGACCATGGGAGGGGACCATGGGAGGGGACCATGGGAGATGACCATGGGAGGGGACCATGGGAGGGGACCATGGGAGGGGACCATGGGAGAGAACACACCAAACAAGCCACTATAACACAGCCAAAAGCCGCCAATAACAACCCCCTCTGTTTACGACCATTAAATGCTAATTACCCCAGCCGAAGGCAGGTGTAGGTAGCACGTGTGTGAAGGCAGGTATATATATCTGGCCATTTATATAGACCTGCAGCGTAGCGCTTTCTTGCCCCTCTCCCTTATGACCCGTATACAAATTGATGTTTCCAGCCACATCGTCAAAACTCCAGTGCTCGAGTGACGTAGAAAGCGTAGCATCTACGACGCTTGAACCGACTAATGAGAATCGCTGTGGATAGCTTCCGTGGCATGACTGGCTTCGAAGGCTTTGGGTCAAGCCCAACCGCTTCAGTTCTTACGCATGTCGGGGTGGAAATAGGGAATGGGGAGAGGCTTATGGGAGCTTTAAGAGCCCCGGGGAAACGAGTAAGAGAGAATAAGAGTCATGAAAGAGAGTATGATGACAGTTTTAAGAGCTGCATCATCCTGAAGGATAGAGTACAATTACCCACAAACTACTCCAATTAGAGCTAGAGTAGTTGTCACCTTCAGGTTGTTAAGGAGGTCATTAACCACGCGAATCATCTCAACAGAACACTTAAGTGATAGAGAGGGGGGGGGGGAGGACCGTTTAAACGCACAAATGAAAAAAGTTTCTGAAACTGTATTATTTTTGGAAGTCCTGGAGAGAAGAGTGGAAGATCGGCGCTCTGGGATGGTTTCTTTCAAGACCTCGAGCTTAACCGGAGGAATGTTACGCATCATTCTTCCGCTGCTCCACACCCTGATGTTACGCATCATTCTTCCGCTGCTCCACACCCTGATGTTACGACACATTCTTCCCCTGCTCCACACCCTGATGTTACGACACATTCTTCCGCTGCTCCACACCCTGATGTTACGCATCATTCTTCCGCTGCTCCACACCCTGATGTTGCGCATCATTCTCCCGCTGCTCCACACCCTGATGTTACGCATCATTCTTCCCCTGCTCCACACCCTGATGTTACGACACATCCTTCCCCTGCTCCACACCCTGATGTTACGACACATTCTTCCCCTGCTCCACACCCCTATGTTACGACACATTCTTCCCCTGCTCCACACCCTGATGTTACGACACATTCTTCCCCTGCTCCACACCCTGATGTTACGACACATTCTTCCGCTGCTCCACACCCTGATGTTACGCATCATTCTTCCCCTGCTCCACACCCTGATGTTACGCATCATTCTTCCGCTGCTCCACACCCTGATGTTACGCATCATTCTCCCGCTGCTCCACACCCTGATGTTACGCATCATTCTTCCGCTGCTCCACACCCTGATGTTACGCATCATTCTTCCCCTGCTCCACACCCTGATGTTACGCATCATTCTCCCGCTGCTCCACACCCTGATGTTACGTATCATTCTTCCGCTGCTCCACACCCTGATGTTACGACACATTCTTCCCCTGCTCCACACCCTGATGTCACGCATCATTCTCCCGCTGCTCCACACCCTGATGTTACGCATCATTCTTCCCCTGCTCCACACCCTGATGTTACGACACATTCTTCCCCTGCTCCACACCCTGATGTCACGCATCATTCTTCCGCTGCTCCACACCCTGATGTTACGCATCATTCTTCCCCTGCTCCACACCCTGATGTCACGCCACATTCTTCCCCTGCTCCACACCCTGATGTTACGCCACATTCTTCCCCTGCTACACACCCTGATGTTACGCATCATTCTTCCCCTGCTCCACACCCTGATGTTACGACACATTCTTCCCCTGCTCCACACCCTGATGTTACGCATCATTCTTCCCCTGCTCCACACCCTGATGTCACGCATCATTCTCCCGCTGCTCCACACCCTGATGTTACGCATCATTCTCCCGCTGCTCCACACCCTGATGTTACGCATCATTCTCCCGCTGCTCCACACCCTGATGTTACGCATCATTCTTCCCCTGCTCCACACCCTGATGTTACGCATCATTCTTCCGCTGCTCCACACCCTGATGTTACGCATCATTCTCCCGCTGCTCCACACCCTGATGTTACGCATCATTCTTCCCCTGCTCCACACCCTGATGTTACGACACATTCTTCCGCTGCTCCACACCCTGATGTTACGCATCATTCTTCCCCTGCTCCACACCCTGATGTTACGCATCATTCTCCCGCTGCTCCACACCCTGATGTTACGCATCATTCTTCCCCTGCTCCACACCCTGATGTTACGACACATTCTTCCCCTGCTCCACACCCTGATGTCACGCCACATTCTGCCCTGCTCCACACCCTGATGTCACGCATCATTCTCCCGCTGCTCCACACCCTGATGTCACGCCACATTCTGCCCCTGCTCCACACCCTGATGTCACGCCACATTCTGCCCCTGCTCCACACCCTGATGTCACGCCACATTCTTCCCCTGCTCCACACCCTGATGTCACGCCACATTCTGCCCCTGCTCCACACCCTGATGTCACGCCACATTCTGCCCCTGCTCCACACCCTGATGTCACGCCACATTCTGCCCCTGCTCCACACCCTGATGTCACGCCACATTCTGCCCCTGCTCACACCCTGATGTCACGCCACATTCTGCCCCTGCTCCACACCCTGATGTCACGCACATTCTGCCCCTGCTCCACACCTGATGTCACGCCACATTCTGCCCTGCTCCACACCCTGATGTTACGCCACATTCTGCCCCTGCTCCACACCCTGATGTCACGCCACATTCTGCCCCTGCTCCACACCCTGATGTCACGCCACATTCTGCCCCTGCTCCACACCCTGATGTCACGCCACATTCTGCCCCTGCTCCACACCCTGATGTCACGCCACATTCTGCCCCTGCTCCACACCCTGATGTCACGCCACATTCTGCCCCTGCTCCACACCCTGATGTCACGCCACATTCTGCCCCTGCTCCACATCCTGATGTCACGCCACATTCTGCCCCTGCTCCACACCCTACTCCACACCCTGCTCCACCACTCTACACAGTGCTAACAATCACACTCAGAATAAACCAATATGCTCACTCTCTAATAAATTACCTTAACCCAGAAAAAAGAAATACAACAAATTTCGCCCCAAAATTTCGATAGAATAAAAACAGAGTAACGACAAAGTAAATACACTCAGGTTATACATGCAGATGAAGATATACATAAGATATGAAGATTAATCCGAGATTATAAATGTATATTTATATGAGAAGGCTCAAAGGACTTCCCCCTGAGGAGGAGTTTTTCATCATGGGTTGAGGAGTTAAGCCAGTGAGACACTCCTAGGTAGAATTATTCCTCATTCCTCATGCAAATTCCGCCCGAGGGCCTCAGAGGCCCAGGGGCGCCCAGGGGGAACAAGGCGGATGTTATACGCCAACTACATACGATTTCCTGTCTTATGAGGCCGCTGTGGCTTAGCATCGTCTTGCATCGAGCGACTGGATTACGGTGGAGATTTCAACTGCAGGGGAAGAGGGGCGTATGTGTGTGTGGCAAGGGTGTGGGGGATGGCGTCCTTATGCACTACTCTCATAGAGGCTAAAGTTGCCCCTGATGAACGTAGGTTCCCGCACGCACAGAGCGGGTGAAGGTGTCTATTTTTTTTACATATTAATATACATAGGTAATCCAGGTGGCTAATTACCATTCAGCTGCCATCGTTGGTCGCTAGGTGCTGCCTAGGTGGTCGCTAGGTGCTGCCTAGGTGGTCGCTAGGTGCTGCCTAGGTGGTCGCTAGGTGCTGCCTAGGTGGTCGCTAGGTGCTGCCTAGGTGGTCGCTAGGTGCTGCCTAGGTGGTCGCTAGGTGCTGCCTAGGTGGTCGCTAGGTGCTGCCTAGGTGGTCGCTAGGTGCTGCCTAGGTGGTCGCTAGGTGCTGCCTAGCTGCTGCCTAGGTGGTCGCTAGGTGCTGCCTAGGTGGTCGCTAGGTGCTGCCTAGGTGGTCGCTAGGTGTGCTGCATAGCTGCTGCCTAGTGGTCGCTAGATGCTGCCTAGGTGGTCGCTAGGTGCTGCCTAGGTGGTCGCTAGGTGCTGCCTAGGTGGTCGCTAGGTGCTGCCTAGGTGGTCACTAGGTGCTCGCTAGGTGCTGCCTAGGTGGTCGCTAGGTGCTGCCTAGGTGGTCGCTAGGTGCTGCCTAGGTGGTCGCTAGGTGCTGCCTAGGTGGTCGCTAGGTGCTGCCTAGCTACTGCCTAGGTGGTCGCTAGGTGCTGCCTAGGTGGTCGCTAGGTGCTGCCTAGGTGGTCGCTAGGTGCTGCCTAGGTGGTCGCTAGGTGCTGCCTAGGTGGTCGCTAGGTGCTTACTAGGTGGTCGCTAGGTGCTGCCTAGGTGGTCGCTAGGTGCTGCCTAGGTGGTAGCTAGGTGCTGCCTAGGTGGTCACTAGGTGATCGCTAGGTGCTGCCTAGGTGGTCGCTAGGTGCTGCCTAGGTGGTCGCTAGGTGCTGCCTAGCGCTAGGTGCTACTAGGTGGTCGCTAGGTGCTGCCTAGGTGGTCGCTAGGTGCTGCCTAGGTGGTCGCTAGGTGCTGCCTAGGTGGTCACTAGGTGCCTGCCTAGGTGGTCGCTAGGTGCTGCATAGGTGGTCGCTAGGTGCTGCCTAGGTGTCGCTAGGTGCTGCCTAGGTGGTCGCTAGGTGCCTAGGTGGTCGCTAGGTGCGCCTAGGTGGTCGCTAGGTGCTGCTAGGTGGTCGCTAGGTGCTGCCTAGGTGGTCGCTAGGTGCTGCTAGCTACTGCCTAGGTGGTCGCTAGGTGCTGCTCAGGTGGTCGCTAGGTGCTGCCTAGATACTGCCTAGGTGGTCGCTAGGTGCTGCCTAGGTGGTCGCTAGGTGCTGCTAGGTGGTCGCTAGGTGCTGCCTAGGTGGGTCGCTAGGTGCTGCCTAGCTACTGAACTAGGTGGTCGCTAGTGCTGCCTAGGTGGTCGCTAGGTGCTGCTAGGTGGTCGCTAGGTGCTGCCTAGCTACTGCCAGGTGGTCGCTAGGTGCTGCTAGGTTAGGTGCTGCTAGGTGGTCGCTAGGTGCTGCCTAGGTGGTCGCTAGGTGTGCCTAGATGTGGTCGCTAGGTGCTACCTAGGTGGTCGCTAGGTGCTGCCTAGGTGGTCGCTAGGTGCTGCCAGGTGGTTCCAGGTGCTGCCTATGTGGTCACAGATGTCGTAGGTGCTGCTAGGTGGTCGCAGATGCTGCCTAGGTGGTCGCTAGGTGCTGCATATGTGTTCCAGATGTGCTACAGATGTGTTCGCTAGATGTGTTACTAGGTGGTCGTTAGGTGCTGTTTAGGTGGTCGCAGATGTGTTCCAGATGGTTCCAGATGTGTTCCTAGATGTGTCGCAGATGTTTCCTAGGTGTGTGGCTAGGTGCTGCCTAGTTGGCAGGTGTGCTGCCTAGGTGTGTCGCTAGATGTGTTAGGTGGCAGCTAGGTGCTCCCTAGGTGCTTACAGGTTTTTATAAAAGTATTAATTAATATGGAACTCCAAAAATATCATTCCAAATGGCATTCCAGATGTATTTCTTTAGTACACTTGAGTGTAGTCTAGATTACCAATGTGTTCTCAGATGTGTTATATCTCCATGTGTTCCAGATGTGTTCCAGATGTGTTCCAGATGTGTTACAGATGTGTTCCAGATGTGTTACAGATGTGTTACAGATGTGTTACAGATGTGTTCCAGATGTGTTACAGATGTGTTCCAGATGTGTTACAGGTGTGTTCCAGATGTGTTACAGATGTGTTACAGATGTGTTACAGGTGTGTTACAGATGTGTTCCTCCTGCCTTGTGAGAGGTCCTGGCTTATTAGTTCCATGTAAACCTATTATTATTATTATTAAAACTAAATTTTTACACATTTCTCCTCGTGGATTTGGGAGTGTCTGCGCATGTCTGCGCTTGTCTGCGCTTGTCTGCGCTTGTCTGCTCTGTCTTGTCTTGTCTGTCTGCTTTGTCTGCGCTCTGCTTTGGTCTGTTGTCTGCTCTTGTCTGCTCTGCTCTTGTCTGCGCTTGTCTGCTTGTTGCTCTGTCTGCGCTTGTCTGTGCATGTCTGCTCTTGTCTGCGCATGTCTGCGCTTGTCTGCTCTTGTCTGCGCTTGTCTGCGCTTGTCTGCGCTTGTCTGCGCTTGTCTGCGCTTGTCTGCTCTTGTCTGCGCATGTCTGCGCTTGTCTGCGCTTGTCTGCGCTTGTCTGCGCTTGTCTGCGCTTCTGTTACGTTGTAATCTGAGGTGACAAGTACTTGTGCCCAATCAGTTCATCAATGTGAACAATCAAGTCAAGATTGATTCTTAAACCTGCAGGATTAAGGTAAATGATTTTCAGGGTCATTGTTGTAGATTGTATCCTGGGGATTGGGGTAGGGATTGTGAGATTGTATCCTGGGATTGGGGTAGGGATTGTGAGTGTTCTCTGGGATTGGGGCAGGGATTGTGTGAGTGTTTCCTGATATTGGGGCAGGGATTGTGAGTGTTCCCTGGGATTGGGGCAGGGATTGTGAGATTGTATCCTGGGATTGGGGTCGGGATTGTGAGTGTTCTCTGGGATTGGGGCAGGGATTGTGTGAGTGTTTCCTGATATTGGGGCAGGGATTGTGAGTGTTCCCTGGGATTGGGGCAGGGATTGTGAGATTGTATCCTGGGATTGGGGTAGGGATTGTGAGTGTTCTCTGGGATTGGGGTCAGGGATTGTGAGATTGTATCCTGGGATTGGGGTAGGGATTGTGAGTGTTCTCTGGGATTGGGGCAGGGATTGTGTGAGTGTTTCCTGATATTGGGGCAGGGATTGTGAGTGTTCCCTGGGATTGGGGCAGGGATTGTGAGATTGTATCCTGGGATTGGGGTAGGGATTGTGAGTGTTCTCTGGGATTGGGGCAGGGATTGTGTGAGTGTTTCCTGAGATTGGGGCAGGGAGTGTGAGTGTTCCCTGGGATTGGGGGCAGGGATTGTGAGTGCTCCCTGGGATTGGGGGCAGGGATTGTGAGTGTTCCAGGGATTGGGGACAGGGATTGTGAGTGTTCCCTGGGATTGGGGCAAGGATTGTGAGATTGTTCTCTGGGATTGGAGCAGGGATTGTGTGAATGTTCCCTAGGATTGGGGCAGGGATTGTGAGATTGTATCCTGGGATTGGGGCAGGGATTGTGAGATTGTATCCTGGGATTGGGGCAGGGATTGTGAGATTATCCCCTGGGATTGGGGCAGGAATTGTGAGACTGTTCACTGGGATTGGGGCAGGGATTGTGAGACTGTTCACTGGGATTGGGGCAGGGATTGTGAGACTGTTCACTGGGATTGGGGCAGGGATTGTGAGATTGTATCCTGGGATTGGGGGCAGGGATTGTGTGTGTTCCCTGGGATTGTGAGATTGTATCCTGGGATTGGGGCAGGGATTGTGTGAGTGTTCCCTAGGATTGGGGCCGGGATTGTGAGTGTTCCCTGGGATTGGGGCAGGGATTGTGAGATTGTATCCTGGGATTGGGGCAGGGATTGTGAGATTTTCTAGGCAAGATTCTATTTTCATTTGTTGGTCTTTAAATTGTTGACAATTTGCATCGGGTGATTGGTATTCAAGTCCAATCACCATTACGTTTTTTGTTAACACGGAC